AAAAAAAAAAAAAAAAAAAAGACATCTGCACTCGAATGTTTATAGCAGCACAATTCACAATTGCAAAAATGAGTAAACAACCCAAGTGCCCATCAATACATGAGTGGGTCAATAAAATGTATAATAGTATATCATGGGATACTATTCAACTACAAAAAACGATGGTGATCTAGAAGCTCTTATATTATCCTGGATAGAGATTGAGCCCTTCCTTCAAAGTGAGGTATCACAAAGATGGAAAAACATGCAACATATACACTCGCCATCAAATTGGTACTAACTGACTAACACTAAGGTGTTCACATGATAGTGATATTCATTGGGTGCCAGTCAGGTGGGGAGTGTTGTGGGGGTAAACCCACAAGTAATGGAAGCAGAACGCACTGTATGGTGGAGGGACATGCTTGTAGCCCTGGCTTGGGTGGGACAAACGCATTACATGTAACCAAAATGTTTGTACCCCCATAATATCCTGAATAATAAAAACAGAACATCTTTAAAAAATATATTAAGTGAGGACTTAACTGTAGTTCTCCTTGAAGTTCCATTATTTTTTTTTCTCTTGTATTTTGACACTGTTTTTAAGTGCTTACATGTTAAGAATTGTTATGTCTTTTTAAAGAATAATAAGAGAACTGACTCCTTTATTATTATGTAAATCCCTGATACCTTTCCTTGCTTTGAAGTCTGATCTGTTTGAAATTAATATAGGTACTCCTATTTTCTTTTCATTAGTATTGGCATGGTATATCTTTCTTAATCCAATTACTTTTCATTTATATGTGTCTTTATATTTAAAGTGGGTCTCTTATAGACTACATATGATTTGATTCTGTTTTTTCAATCCTCAATCAATCTTAGTCTTTTAATTGGTACTTTTTGATCATTGACATTAGAAGTGATTACTGATATAGTTGGATTAGTATTGAGCACATTTGTTACTATTTTCTATTTTTTATGGTTGTTCTTTGATCCTGTTTTTGTCTTTTACTATTTTTCTCCCTGTTGTGGTTTTATTTGGGTATTTTACATGATTACATTTCCTCTCCTTTCTTGACTTATTAGTTGTACTTCTTTTTAAGAAAAATTTTAGTGATTGCCCTAGAGTTTGCAATATACACTTACAAATAATCCAAGTTCACTTTCAAATAGCACTATATCACATCACACGTAGTATGGGTACCTTATAATGGCAAAGTAACCCTCATTCTTCCTTCCTATCCCTTATATCATTGCTGTCATTCATTTCACTTATACATAAGTATATATAAACATATATATAAGCAAATATATTATATATAATCACATTGTTGCCATTATTATCTTGAAAAAACTGTTATCTGTTAGATCAACTTAGAATAAAAAAGGTTTTTAGTTTTCCTTTACTTATTTCTTTGCTGGTGCTCTTCCTTTTTTTATGTATATTCAAGTTACTGACCTATTCTCTCTAAAGAACTTCTTTTAACATTTCTTTCAAGGCAGGTCAATTGGCAAAACATTCCCTCAATTTTTGTTTCTGAGAATGTCTTCATTTCTATTTCACTTTGAAAGATAATTTCACAGGGTACGGAATTTTAGGGTGGTGGGTTTTTTTTCTCTCAACACTTTAAATATTTCACTTCACTCTCTTCTTGCTTACATGGTTTCTGAAGAAAAGTCTGACGTAATCTTTTGTTCTTCTATAGATAAGGTTTATTTTTCCTTCTTGTTTCTTTTAGGATGTTTTCTTTGTCTTTGATATTCTGTCGTTTGAAAATAACAAACCTAAGTATAATTTTTCTGGCATTTGTATCTCTTCATTCTGAGCTTCTTAAATCTGTGGTTTAGTGTCTGACATTTATTTAAAGAAAATTTTCAGTCATAATGTTTCAAATATTTCTTTTGTTTCTTTCTCTCTTTCTTCCCTGTCACACAGGGACACACGCTTGTGTAGTTGTCCCAAAGTTTTTGGATATTTTGTTTTGGTTTTCAGTGCATTTCTCTTTGCTTTTCAGTTTTGAGAGCTTCTGTTATGATATCCTTAAACTTAGAGATTCTTCTCTTAGCTGTGTCCTATGTACCTATAAGCCCATCAAAGGCATTTTTCATTTCTGTTACAGAGTTTTTGATCTCTAGCATTTTTCTTTGATTCTTAGAATTTTTATCTTATTATGCTTACAATGCCCATCTCTTCTTGCATGCTATCTACTTTATCAATTATAGCCCTTAGCATATTAATCACAGTTGTTTTAAATTCCCATTTTGATAATTTTAACATTCCCGACATATCTGGACCTGGTTTTAAGACTTAATCATTCTTTTCAAACTGTGTTTTCTGCCTTTTAGTATGACTTATAGCTTTTTCTTGAGAGCCAGACACAATGTATTAGCTAAAAGGAACTGCTATAAACAAGCCTTTAGTAGTGTGGTGTAGGGTGCTGGAGGAGAGGTAGCATAGTCCTATGATTAGGTGTCAATCTTTTAGTGAGCCTGTATCTCTGGACTGTGAATTTCAATCATGTTTCTCAGTTTCTCCCCCTCCCTCTTAAGTGAGACAAGATGTCTTGAGGGACTAAAGTTGTACATTTTCCTCCTGCACAAGGGAGGCTAGAGACAGTTGGAGTTTAGTTTCTGTGGCTTCATAATACTTCCAAAATAATAAAAATATTCTTATGTTCCAATGAAAAGGATCACTAGAATTGCTGTCTTCTAGCTATTTCTGTGTATAATTTCAATTTTTTTTCCTTTAAAGTCTATATACTGTAGAGAAACATTGTAAGTTCTGCACAATTTAAAATGATAATCTACTCTTTATTTCTCTTTTCACAGAAAGTTATACTTTGGAATGACTATAATCTTAAGATTCCCAGCACTTATTTTATATATTATATTGATTTGGGCCATGAAGAAAAAATATGAAGGAAAAGATACCAAGCCACCAGAAAATGAAAAAAATGTCACAGATGAAGCTAACATGGAATCCTTAAATAACAATGGATGTTTTGTACCTTCTGCTGGAGCAGACAGTGAAACATGTGCTTAAGGGGGAAAGAAAATCACTTCTGTTGCTGTGTTTCCAACCAACCTTATATTGATTCAATAAGACATTATTTTTGAGTAATTCCTGCTCTTTTCATTGAGAATTTCCACATTCTTTACTTACGATGGAACAATGAATAAGCCTATGAATTTATAATAAAACAAACTATAAATAAAAAGGAACAGGAGTGCTCATTGTTATGGTAAAGTTAGGAATTTGTGTCAAGATTAGAATATATGATCCATACAAATTTAAAGCAAGAAGCATCATTAGTATGTAATAGAGAAAAAGTATTTGCTCAGGTCTTTGTAATTATTAATAAGCCCAGTGACTAGAGTATGGGTAGAGGTAAAAAAAAAAAAAAATAGACAAGGGAGATTAATAGCCTAATAAGGAGAAAAGCCTGATGTCTTTTTTTAAAACCAATTTGGACCAGATTACTCAGGCCTGAAATTTAGCCTGATGGAGGATTTATGCTATTATGATATCTGCTATTTATGTTAAATCATATAATTCACAGAATTTTAAATTTGTAATTTGAAATTGTGTTTGACTAGCAATGCTAATGCATCTTCTTCCAATTTCCCATAAAAACTGCTGAAGAAATAGAGATATTCAAATATTTGCAATCTGAGATTGTCAGATAAGATATTGCAGAATTCATTAAGTTTCTGTTGGACCTATGGAAATGGGTTAAGTAAAACTGACTTTGACTTGAGAGAGCAATACTCATTTAAAAGATGTGACTTCATTCCATCTGCCTATTCTCTGGGAGAAGTGAAATCTCTGCCAGATAATATATCACCTATCACATTATTACATTTTTTTTGTTTGTTTAGTGTTGGTACGCAAAAAGATATTTCACATCTCTATAAGCAGCACAAGAAATAGAGTGAATGAAAACAAATATTCAAATACTGTATTTTCTAGTAGCAGCTACCCCATTAAAACGAATGCCAGAGGTTGTAGTTTTTTTTTATTCTCAATTGGTTAAAGGATTCTTTTTGTATCAGAATTGACTGTGAAATTTTTTTAAGAAAGAAATATGATCATATATCACTTATCTCCAGTGAGACGGGCCTTTATCAAAAAGTCCCAAAACAATAAATGTTGGC